TCCCGCCTCCCCCGGGCCCGCCCCCCGCCGCCCGCCACCTCCCCCTTGGGGGCTCCGAGGCGCCGCCCCCGCACCCAGGGCTGTGAAGGAGCCAACCTGGGCTCACGTTTTCCCAATCTGACGGATGAATTTCATAGCTCAGAAAGATTATGGATGACTTTTGTCTCTTCTTCTTTGTTTTCCAATCTTTCTAGGCTATACTTATATCGTTTAGGTCAAAAGCACATACAATCACGTGTTGGATGGGAGAGAGGTCGGGAGGATGGGGCCAGGGCCTGGCTGGGTGGTCGCTGTGGCTTATGGACTCCCCCGGCTCTCTGCAGGAGTCATGTGGCTGGAAATTGTCCTCGCCTCAGTGCTGGGCCTTGTCATCTACTGGTTCGTCTCCCGGGACAAGGAGGAAACGCTGCCGCTTGAAGATGGGTGGTGGGGGCCTGGGGCGCGGCCCCCCGGCGGGGAGGATGAGAGCATTCGCCCTTTCAAGGTGGAAACATCGGACGAGGAGATCGATGTAAGGCCCTTTCTTCGGGGCAGGGCCGAGCGCCGGGGAGGCGGGAGACTGGGGCTCGGCCTCAGGCTGGGGCTGCAGAGGGAACCGGCCGCCCCTTGGGAGTGTGCTTCAGTCCGCTCTTCTCCCACAGGGGTGCAGTCCAAATCACCCACTCTGCCCACCCGGACCCTTCTCCTTCCCACCTCTGTCTCCTCCTTCCCCTCCACCCCCCCAAGGCCCAGCGGTGCAGCTGTGTCACCTTCTTTGTGCCCCACCTGAAACCTGGGGGGTGAGCTTATAGGAGAGAGCAAGCAGGTTTTCCTCAGGGCCTGGGCGGAGATCCCGAGTGAACAGCAAGGCCCTGGCGACGTAAAATGCTGAAGCACAGAGAACGCGCTGCGCGGGGCAGCACTGGTTAAGCACCTACTGTGTGTCAGGCATTCATAGTCCCATTCAGCCCCTGCGGCAATCCTATAGAGTGAGGACTAGAGTTCCCATCTTACAGATGCAGAAACTGAAGCTCAGAGAGGTGAAGCAATTGATCGATCCCAGGTGACTGAGATAATAAGCAAGGATTTGGACACCCATCTGTCAAACTCCAACCCTGTGTCCCTCCTCCACACGTGACTCCAGGGGTGGGCTGATCTGACAGCCAGGCTTGAGCTGGACCAGAAGGGTGGGCGGGACCTGGGATGGCCCCACCCATTCTCGCCTTCCTTCTGTAGGTTTCAAAGCACCTACTGTGTGCAGGCACTCTCCTGGGTGCTTGGAAGAAGAGATTCTTTCCTCTCATAGCTCATAGTCTAGGAATTGAGAAAAGAAATGTGCACGGAGAAAAGTCAACTAAAAGATTAATAGGGATAAATGGCATAAGAAGTGCCGAGAAAAAAAAAAGTCATGAAAGGTCTGAGAAAGAAGGGGTTAAAAACCCGAAAGTGGTCTGCACCCCAGAGAAAGCAGGCTGCGGAGAAAACAGGCTGCGGTCCCCCTGTAGAACTTGGTAAGGCCTCGCTATTTAGGGCTAAGGCTGAGCTTTGAGGATAACTCCTGTAGTGAGTTCTTAGACTCAGAGCCTAAGACTTCCGAAATCTGTTTGGGGGACCCAGTACTGGGGGACATTCTGGGAAGGCTCCATGAGCCAACTCGAGCTTCCCCCGGCTGGAGCTGGTCTCTTGGCCTGATGCACACCCGTTAGAGCTGCATTCTCCTGGCCTGTAATTTTTTATCCCAGCCGAATTATAACATATCATCCAATGCTGCATATCAGAGTCGGCAAATCATGCTCCATGGGACAAATCCATCCTGCCACCTGTTTTTGTACAGCCCCCGTGCTGAGAATAGTTTTTATATCTTTAAATGGTTGAAAAAGTCAAAATAAGAATAATATTTTGTGACCCGTGAAAATCACGGCATTCAAGTTCAGTATCCATAAAGTTTTATTGGAACACAGCCGCATCTCTAGGTCCATGTACTGTCCATGGCTGCTTCCACAATACAAGGACAGAGTGGAGTAGTTGCAGCTCAAAGAGCCTAAAATATTTACTTTCTAGCTCTTTACAAAAAAAAAAGTTGCTGGCCCATGTTATATATAAGCCTAGGTAAGTTAAAGATGTCAATTATTTATGTATTTAAAACTGGAAGATGAGAAATAAAACCAAAGCCAAAAGACCATATACTTCGGGAACAGGCACTGTTATGGGAAACAAGGTTTCTTCTAGACTAAACCTGACAACCCAGGATACAAGTCTGCAGACTAGCGACCACCCCCCACCCTCCATGAAACGTGGGGGTGTCGCTTTGCCTCTGCTGCAGTACAGTGTCTTGTGGCCACAGGGTTTCCTCTGTCTTCTGGAAACAAACCTTCTCTGTGCTGAGGCCCACCCACCCCTCTCTCCCTGGGGTCCCGTAATTTGCTGCAGGATTTACACCGGAGAATAGACAAGGCGCGTCTAACTCCCCCCTTGGAGGACAGCCGCTTCCACTATGGTTTCAACGCCAGCTACCTGAAGAAAATCCTCTCCTACTGGCGGAATGGATTTGACTGGAGGAAGCAGGTGGAGGTTCTCAACAGATACCCTCACTTCAAGACTAAGATTGAAGGTACGTTTCCAAACGCCAGCCGCGGGGATATATGTGATGGGAACGGCTTTCTTAGACACCGGATGTGACTTAGACAAAGCTGGGGGAGACCCAGAATCCAATTATTGGTCAGTTATTGGTCAGTTCAATGTATTTATAAGTGATGACGTCAGCAGGTTGCAAAAATAATGCAAAATCTGCAAAATCCCAACAAATAACAACGGTTGGAGCTTGGATTATCATGCTGTCTGCCCAGACCCCACACGCTGAGCTGGCTACCTCCCAGCCTGGGGTTGGTCCGGGAAGACATCCCTCCTCACTCTGTGTGCTGCTGGCCTCCTTCCTCATGTTAGGACCTTTTACGGGGTTCTCTCAGACCCTGACTGGCCCCTGTGCTCGGGGAGGCTCAAGGCTCAACCTCTGACCCCTACCCCAGCATTCTGTCCTCGTCCCCACTGGCCTCATTATTCCGCGCCCCCTGTCCTGAGTTGAGATTCTTGCTCTAGCCCCTGTCCTGGGCTTCCACTGCAGATCAGTCCCGACAGAGGCCCCTGGGGACAGCCAGCCTATCATCTTAGAGGAGAGGAGGAAGCTACCCGAGTCACAAGGAAGTGGAGGTTCGGGGCAGAGCCCAGCTCTCCACACTCCCAGCCTGTCCCAGCTGGGGCTCCAGCCGTGACACCCTCACCACTCGCCAGGCCCAGCGCTGCCTCTGAGCCCAAGTTGGCTCCTCGCTCAGAGGAGCATCCCGTGGGCACCACCGACCTTTAGAGAAGCCAAGAGGATGTTTCCTCCACAAAGGGCAAATTATGAAGTGTGGGCTTTTAACGTTTTTCTTAAAAATGCAAATATTAAAAGTTTAAAAACTACAGAAGGATACACAGTGTCAGGAGTCCCCATCTCGGCCCTTCCCCCAGTCCACAATTCCCTCCCCAGGGACAGCTTCTGCTTCTCTTATATCCGCTTCCAGAAAGAGCATGTATGTAGAGTATATATGGGTACTTTTTTTCTAATTTTAAACCCAAATGATAATGTGATAGAATTTGAATTAAAAATAATCTCACATCACGCAGTGTGTTCCAAAGGAGGTAAGATTACCTACTAAAATAAACCTTCAACTAGGAGTAAATTTAGTAACATAGAAGGACACCCAGGATGTATTGTTAAGTGAAAAAAAAAATAAAGTTCCAAAATAGAATGTATGCAGGGTTCTATTTTTGTTAAGAGAAAGTTATGTTCACTTAAGTGTTTAAAAAAATTCGGAAGTGTCACAGCCAAGAGGAACCTAAGGAGACGTGACAATTAAATGGACATTAGGTAAAAACGAAGGAAATCTGAGTAATATTTCATTGTGTGTATATGACAATATTATTCAGCCTTAAAAAAAAAAAAAAAGGAAATTCTGCAATAAACAACAAGAAGGATCAACTTTGACGACATTATGCTAAGCTAAATAAGCCAGTCACAGGTGATTGCACTGATATGAAGTATCTAAAATCGTCAGGCTCACAGAAGCAGAAAATACAAAGGTGGCTGCGGGGGGCGCTGGTGGGGCAGGGGAAACAGGGAGTTGCTAGTTAATGGATATAAAGTTTCAGTTATACAAAATGAATCAGTTCTAGAGATCTGCTGTACTACAATGTCCCTTTACGTAACCTAACCTTCAGTCTCATATTAAATGTTTTTAATACCATTAATTTAAAAAAATAAAAAACATTTCTAAAAACTAAGGAAATCTGAATAAAGCGTGGACTTTAGTTATTTACATATCAGTACTGGTTCTTCCTTTGTAATGAATGTACTGTGTTAACGTAAGATTTAATAGTAGGAGACATTGGGTCTGAGCATATGGAAACTTCCTGTTCCAAAATAAAAAATTTGTTAGAAAAAATGTTTGGATGGACAACACAATGTTCTCTTCAGAGAGTGGGTTTACGTGTGATCTCCCCCTGCCTCCAACTTTCGATTTATCCACGTTTTCTCTTTTCTACAGTAAACATGTATCATTGGAACGAATTAACAAACCAGATTGTTAGCTAGAATGTGCTGTCAGCTCTAGCCCTCCAAGTGGAGGGTTTCAGGTGTGACAGCAGCCCTGGCCTTGTTTGACGTGACCGTCCAGGTGCTATGTGAGCCCCTCAGCTGGTAAGGAGCTGCACACCAAGGGACAGTGAAGGGGCCTGGAATCCATTCTCCTGCTCTGGCTGGGATGATGTTCCCAGTTCTGCGCTTAAAGAAAGTTATATATTTAATAAATTCCCTTGGAGAAAAATTAGAAAGTACATATAAAACAAAAAAAAGAAAATGAACGCACTTGAAATTCTGCTCAGAATAATTTTTTACATTTTTATAGTTTATCCTTTCAGACTTTAAAATTCGTATACACACAGTGTAAATGTATGCACACGCATGACTGTTTCCAAAAGTTCACTTAGACAATGGATACGGCTTGATAATTTCCTTTTACCACATAGCAAAATACACTAAACTGTTTTCTACGTCAAATAAATACACATCTGCACATCTGTACTGTCATTTTAAGCAACTGTATTTTATTCTAGAATATCATTAAACCATAACCTATTTAATTCTTTTGCTAGATATAATGGACTTATCCCCCTGCTTTGTAAATTGTTAAACAAGTATTTATTGAGCCCCGCCACAAGCCGGGGACTAGTCTGGGCTCTGGGAAAACAGCAGTGCCTGAGCGGCTCTGGCCTTGGCTTTGGCCTCAAGGAGTTCAAGTTCTCATGTGCACAGGGCATAGAAACAGCCTTGCCCTTGCAGGTAGCTGTGAAGGCTGAGCGAGGGCCCATGAGCTGGGGCGCCGCCTGAGTGCTCAGCCAGCGTTGGTGGTGGTTACTGTGATGGGTACCATGGCTGTGGGGGCCAAGGTGGCAGCACCCACTGTCTGAGCTCCAGAGGGTGCAGGGCCTGGCCGGATATCCCGAGGGTCGTGACCGCGGCCTCCCCAGCTCCCTCCCAGCTCCCCCTACCCTGACTGTGCTCTGTCTCCCCAGGGCTAGACATCCACTTCATCCACGTGAAGCCCCACGAGCTGCCCTCCGGCCGTGCCGCAAAGCCCTTGCTGATGGTGCATGGCTGGCCCGGCTCCTTCTACGAGTTTTATAACATCATCCCTCTCCTGACTGACCCCAAGAACCATGGCCTGAGCGATGAGCACGTTTTTGAAGTCATCTGCCCATCGATTCCCGGCTACGGCTTCTCCGAGGCCTCCTCCAAGAAGGGTATGGGGGCCGCCGGAGGCTGTGTAATCACCCCCGTCACCTGCTGGGGGCAGGTTTTCCCACCAGGCTCTGGATGGGGGTGGGGGAGGGGTGTTTGGGACAGCTTCTTTCAGGGCCTGAGGAGGAAGGGGCCTGAAACTGAAGGAAAGTGAAGCCAGGAGAACATTTGTATTAGGCAAAGAGCCCTCGGGGTCTGAAGGGAGTGGTGGGCGAGGGACTGCGGCGAGGGACTGGGCCGAGCAATGGTCATAGCTGTTCGATGCTGGCTCAGGAGCCCGGACTCTTATGTCGCCACTCAGGGGCAGGTCCACATCTGGGCCCTGGACTGGTCCAGACCAGCAAGGCTGACCAGCTCCACACTCCCTGTGGGCCCCCAGAAGCTCACCCCGGCCGGCCTCATACCCCCCATCATTCACCCTCACAGCCTGGCTGTCCACTCCCTCCACAGAGGCGGCACCAGGCACCCCACCTCACGGACTCAGGATTCTTTCTCTCCCCCTCTGAGCTGTTCCTACCTGACCTGGAGCAAGCGCGGGTGAGGGATTTCACGGGACACCGGGAGTGTCCAAGGAGTGACC